CCACCATCTCCACAGTGCCCTTGTTGCCAACAATCAAACAACATTCTCTTTCCCCCAGAAAAAAAAATCTAGTAGGTATGAATTTTCTCAGACTCCTCTCCTCTCCTTTCAAATTGAGTGAAATCTTGTGTTTTTTCATCTCCTTCCTTGAATCTCAGAGGCCAACCTTTCTACCTGTGTTTTCTTCCCCCCACCAGTGCTTTTGTTCAGTATGCTTTCAGTAGGGTCTCATTTCAATCATTACCAATTGTTTTCCAAAATTTTTATCTTTCCCGTCCTCATTCCCCCTTCTCTGCATCCTCTAACATTGCCTAACTCTTCCTCAGTCTCCCTAAAAAACACCCCTTCATTCTGCTTTTCCCTTCCTCTCATTGTCATATTACCTTTCCTCTCTTGACCAAACTTTTAGGAAAACCTGACTTGACTTTCTCTGTGTACCTTCTCACATACTTCAATTCTTTGTAGCCTGACTTCACTCTCAGTGGCTCTGCTGAGGTTTTCTACATGACTTGCTCATTTTGAATGCGGGGATAGATAGCTTGCCACACCAAGCTCTTTGCTCTACTTAAGACAAGTACCTTGTTTGTCTTCAGCAGTATTAACTTTCCATGTTCACTGCTTACCTCTAAAACCAGGATTTCCTCCCTCCTCTTCCTCGTTATGTCCACTAAATACTGTTGCCTGCATTTCATTCTCCTCCTCCTTCTCTTCACAATTTTGACTTTCTTTAGTCTCACTCACTTTTCTGGATTCATTTACTTGCTTGTGGGGCATCTGCAGCCCCAAGCCCCAGATCTGCACTTGCAATTACCCACCAGACATACTTACTTCGATGCTGTGTAGCCATTATCTTGGTAGCTTGCAAAGATTTATTTTTTGCGAATGTTACACATTCTTTGTGGCCCTTCGGCAGCTGTGACCCTGCTGTCCTCCCTTTGGAACCTAGACTGACAGAGAAGCCTCTCTCTGGAAAGTTGCCAGTCATTGTAGGGGGGTTGTGGGGGGGTGACATACAGGACAAGCCTATGCTAGCTCTGAAAGCCTTTGCCCAGAAGTAACACATTCAGGCCACATTTTATCAGCCAAAGCAAGTTACATGGCCACTCCTGAGTTAATTGGGTGGGGATGTATAATCCTCCCCCAGGGAGGGGCACAGCAATATTTGGCACCAGTGATACAATCTTCCACAGGCATTTCAAGCAAAACACGTCTAAACCTTCCACTTATTGTTTTATCCTCATCCAAAACCTATTCCTCCCCCACCCCATTTTCCTTTTCTTCTGTTACTTGGCATCACTTTTTATTAAATCAGCCAAGTTAGAAACTTCAGAGTTGTGTTTAAATTCTTTTCCTCCTTTCCTGTTCTCCCCATATCCAGTTGGTCAAACAGTCTTGTGTTTTCTGCCCTGAAATTTCTTGTCTTAATTCTTCCTCTTCTGCCCTAGGCAGAATGCTTTTGTCTCTCAGGAGATTCCTATCCATCTCCCTATCTCCATTCCTCCTTCACCTGCTGTCAGGGCCAGGCTTTAAAAATATAGACCTTATCCTACCACTCCAGTGCTCATAAATCTTCATGAACCATCCACTGCCTACCAAGCACTTTCTTGGGGTATGCAGTTTTCTCAAAATAGCCCAAACATAACACATTAGTTTCATCTTTCACACTTGTCCTTATACACCTTCCATTTCCTATATACATTCTGCATTTTTATCCCTGGAATGATCACTCCTTTTTATTAAGGCATAATATAGACACAATAACATTCACCCTTTTTAGTGTACTATTTTGTAAGATGTGACAAGTACATATATAGTTGTATAATAACCACTTCAGCAAAGATATGGAATGATCCCATCACACACACAAATCCTCACGCCCTTTTGTGGTCAACCCTTCTCTTACTTATAGTCCCTAACAACCCCTGATGTAAATTCTGTTGCTATAGTCTTTTTTTCCCCTGAATGTTATACAAATTGAATTTCATAACCTTTGGTCTGGTTCCTTTCACAAGATTCATCCAAGTTATCATATTCCATATCATGTCATGGCATGTCATATCATATCCAAGTATGAGTAGTTTGTTCTTTTTTATTGCTAAGTAGTATTTTATTATATGGATGAACCATGGTTTGTTTATTCCTGATTGTAGGGGATGTTTCCTCCTTTGGGGGGGTTTTCCCCTTTTCATCCCATTTTCCTTTCAATTATTATCTTCTCTTCTTTCCTCCCACCAGCTTTCCCCAGAATCTTCTATAATGCTGTTATCCCATTGCAATGAAGTTCATTATTTATAGTTTGCATGAAGAACAGTAGTTCATTTGTTCTCTCCCTACATCTGTCTTTCATTCCTAATATCTGCCAAATTGATACTTGACTATCAGTTCAAATTGTTGTTGAACACATCTGGACTTCCCCCTTCCTACTCCATCTTTACCTTGTTAAGCTCTCTTCTATAAACCATAATACATTTTTAAGAAAGGGATCCAAGTAAATTTAGGAAATGCTATATACTCCATTTCCCTTTTAAAGATTAAGCATTACTAAATCAATGTTCTGAAAAGTCACTCAATGGAAAGGCCTTTTTAACCTTTTCAAATGTGTTTGACCATTAACTACCTAAACACATCCTGCAGAATTAACATTCTTAAAGCACACACTTTATCAAAGAGTGGTAGAACTATTATAATGTAGTCCTCTTGTCCAGCTAGTCCTCTTGTCCAGGTTCTCATATGAATTGCTAGGGAGACCTTTCTGTCCTCACAGATGCTCTTGTATGCATTAGAGTACATTCTTCAATTGAATGTAACAGTAGATTGGAACCAAATAAAATGTGGTCTTAGGGCTAACTTTGTACCTATATGCTAAATAAACATCCTCATATAGAATCCTATTGTATAGGAGAAGAGGAATAAAATTGGCCAAGTAGCAAGTTTTCATATCTCTCCTTCTTAAAGGCATTTCTGAAGTTGCTTTCAATAAATTTGGTTTTAGAAGTTTGGCTATATACGAACGTTAAAATTTTAGAACTATAAGAGACCATCACCTCATTTTATAAATGATTAGACGGGGCCCCAAAAATAGTATGCATTATTCAAGGTGTATAAACTGCAAGGGGAGACCTAGAACTGAAACTGATTTTCCTAATTCCCATTTCAGTGGCTTTTTCTGATAATGCATGCGTTGCAACTTCTTTTGTTGAGTCCATAAAAGTATTGGTTTGGCTGAATCTGGTGGACCAGTTCCAGAATTCCCTCATCTTAAATTTTACTGAATGTTTTGGATATGATTTTTATTTCAAGTAACGAGTAAAATTGACTCTTTTCCCATCTGTGAACATACCAAAGTGTCATCTATAAATACATGACAATAATGCAGCCTAAAGCCACAGAAAAAATAATCCTTTGTCAGGATATCCCTAGTGAAACCATGGAATTTGTGTTTGAGAAAATACTAACAGGTGAAAATGCTTGAGCTAAGGGAAGGTTACAGAATATCCATCTTTCATTAATTTGATTTTATGACCACTTAAGAGCAATTTACTAGTTTGTTCCCACTAACATATTAAAGAAAAAGGTGATCAGGGCTTAGTTTGGCACTTTGATGAATAATTAAACTTTTCTTTTTTGGGTAGGTGGGGAAAAGTGGCAATGTACCAGCAGGAACTACAGTGGACAGCACCATCACACATCCATCTGAGTTCGACTTTTACCTCTGTAGTCATGCAGGAATTCAGGTAATTTGGAAACTGTCCAGATCTTTGCCTTGATAGGGAGATGTTCACAAATTCATCATCTAGCTTGAGCAGACTTGTTATAAATTGTGCACTGTGTTAATATCGGTGCCCCGGAACTGTTATCTTTTGGTCTAGGTATCTGGTAAGGTGTGATTAGCAGAAATGCTTCTGGGACTAAAGAGCAGGTTCCAGTTCTTCTCTCCTTTCATGCAGTCCACCTTGTCAGAAATCTATTAATCATAAAACTCTGTTCACAGGGAACCAGCCGTCCTTCACATTACCAGGTCCTGTGGGATGATAACTGCTTCACTGCAGATGAACTCCAGCTGCTAACTTACCAGTTGTGTCACACCTATGTGCGGTGCACACGCTCTGTCTCTATTCCAGCCCCTGCATATTATGCCCGACTGGTGGCATTCAGGGCAAGGTATCATCTGGTGGATAAAGATCATGACAGGCAAGTTTGCAAGGCTGCATAAGATCTCTTGTGTCTGTTAGCAGCATGTTTTTAAAAATGAGCTGCTACAGAATACCTTTTGGAAGCGTTAAACTTCCTCTTAGGGTTTAAATTGCAAGGAGTGGATAAAACTGCATGTACCTTTGAGAGCTTATAATGTGAATTTTGGTCCAAGAAGTATTCAGACTTGTTCATACTTGTATAGTGTGTCTGCCCAAGGAAAGTCATCTAATTCAGAGCTGCCGGTATTTTTCCCAGAGAGCCAAATGCATCCCAGTTCTCCTAAGGTGCTGAGCTGCCTCAGCTGGCAGCCATTATAGCGCCCTGGCTCTAGTGACAGCAGTCACAGACCCTTGGACTCCACTTCAAGTAAAGGGGAGTCCTGACCCACTCACTTTACATTCAGTATAATCTGAAAGGATGCACCAGAGTAATGCTGGGTGCATGAGAGGTGCATGGGAGGAGGAGGGATGCCAGACCTTTCTCACCCCCAATAGGGCATCTCAAGAAAATTAGACATTTGGCCTCTTACTAAGCTACCATGAAATAGCTAACCAAGTTTCTGCATTAATTTTCTTTGCCAAATGACCATTTGTGAAGTATAGCAGTTTCTGGGCTCTCCCCCAAGTCTGAATTCAGCTGCTAAATAGTAGACATTCCACTGCGAGTCTATTTCTGTATGGGTTGAAAATATATTATTTGTAAAATGCCCAGCTGTGGCTTTATACCTCTCATTCTGTAACATGCATGCATTCATTCAACATACTTATTAGTAGGTATTGACTATGTGTCCAGCACTGTACTGGGTTCTAAAAAAATATGAGGAAGACATGTTTCTGGGATTTTGTTTTTGTGTGGCAGGCTCTACAAGCAAGCAGAGAACTAACAATTGGCCCAAAGCAGGATAGATGAAAGTGCATTGGGACACCAGAGGAAAGACTGAGAAGATTTCATAACTAGATGGGTAGGATTTAGCTTTACAAGGAAGAGTAAAGGATTTTCCAGGCAGAGTAAACAATGGATACAAAGAGGAGAAAGCAAGTGACATGTTTGGACAATAGCAAGTTTTCTTTCTTGGAAAGGGGAAGGCAGGCATGAAGAGGAAATGCACCTAGAATAAGATTGTCTTTGTTAAGTGAAAAAAGCTATTCTTGGGATAAAATAGATGCTACTTAGGAGTTCATTGGATATGAGCAGCAGAAAAAAGGATTAAGTAAATGATTATGATTTTGAGCCTAAATGATAAAAATAATTTAAGTAGAGAAGTCAGAATAATCAGTTTACTGAGCCTTTTATATCACATGGCACCCTTAAGAGGTATATTCAGTAATTGCTACTGTTAACCTAAAAGTAGCAGAGTTGTTACCTGCCCAAGTTTCTATGGCTAGAGAGCAGAGGACAGAGACAGAAGAGTGGAGTATTTATTTTGTTTCAGTACTGTGCTAAGCACTTAACATTTACTCATTCATGCAACAAATAATTATTGAACCTATAAGATGTATCAGGCACTAGGGATTCAGTGGTAAGTAAAATAGATAAAATTTTTGCCTGGTTGGAGTTGACATCCCAGTAGAGAAATAAAATAATTATCTATTACTATTTTAATTTCACTTATGTTTCTTTCGAATGAAAGAAAAGTAGAGGATTCTCTGAACTTTGGAAATCATGGAAGATTTCTTTGGGGAAAATGATGTTCGACTGAAGCCTAAAGAAAAAGTGGACACAGACTGATATTAACAGGCTCTGTCAAGCATTTAGCATTTAGATTTCTGCAGACATTACTCTGCTTAATTATTGCAACATCCCATTAAAAAAGTGTTTTTTTTTCCCATCTTTCAGTTGGGCAGACTCATGTTTAGAAAAACAATAAGCTGTTTAAGGAGCCATGCTTGAGATAAGATTTTGAATCTAGTACTATTTGTGTGATCTGAAACAGGTAAAATTTGACATGTGAATTTTATTATACCTGGTTTTTTTTTCTTTATTCTCTCTCCAGTGCGGAAGGCAGTCATGTGTCAGGACAGAGCAATGGCCGAGACCCTCAGGCCTTGGCTAAGGCTGTGCAGATCCACCATGATACTCAGCACACGATGTATTTTGCCTGAGAGTCTCAGAAAAAGAACTCAACTAGTTTGGTGCCCCATGCAGCCTCGTTATGTTTCAAATGCCTACTGCCTCTTGAGAGCCAAATTGATTTCAGGTGGTCTTCTACCAGCAGCTTGGAATAGTTGCACTGAATCTATACTTCACAGCACTGTCTGACGCATCAACAAAATTGAGCCATTTTTTACAAAAAGTAATAGACTCATAGATTGTCTTTTCTGATGCACTGGACTAAATTTTTACCTCATCATGCAAAGGCTAATCAGCCTGAACTTTCTAAAGGACTTTACAAGAAAGGTTTCTATGGAATATTTTGCTAGCTGTGGTGTTCACCGCATCCCTCTAGTCTTATAAGAGAAGATTAATCCTTTTTCTGTATTCATCAAGTGGGGTATATGCATAAGTGGGAGAGAAAAACCAAACAATCTACTTCAGTTCAGTGTAACTAATTAATTGTGTGGTTACATAGACTTTTAAATGGAGATTTCTGACTTTGTCACTGTAAATGCCTTTAACGAGCATTAATTTTTAAAAGTTTTACAGAGTTTTATTAGTTTTACTACTTTACCTTATTGATCTCTACAGACTTGTGCTAGTGCAAGGACAGGCTACCAGGCAATTGCACTATATTTGGCTGCAGACTCAGACAGGCAGTTCTCTTATTTGGTTGACTTTTGTGAATGTGGAACACAAACAGATGTAACGCATGTCATGGTGACGGATAACACTGCCATGGTAAAAGTACTCATGTTTCCCCTCTTTGAAAAAAATTAGCTTTTAATATTTTTCAGAGTTTTCAAAAGTGCCCATTTTTATGCTGCTGTGTGGTTTGTTAGATCTAAATGATTTTTAAACTTTTCTCATAGAAAGTTAACTTTGGCAATAAACATTTTTAAGGGCCCCTTCTTCCTCCCTCTGACAATGTAGTTTTCTAGATGAGATTTCAGTATGATTTTATCAGCTATTTCTTACAGATCATAATCTGGCAATTTCTGAAACCAGTCAGATAAGACATATATTTCCACGCCTTTTTTAAAGAATTATTTTTATCTGTTTTATAGTCACAGTGGTGTCCTGTCACTTTGTTTTAAAATAAGCTAGAACTAGGATGCTTCCTTATTGGATCGGCTTTGCCAGTCCTTATGGTACATTGAGTGATGCTGCAACTTGCAAAAATGTACCAGCATTTAAAGCTTTTTTTCTTGGGAGTCAAGGTTACCCACACACTTACTTGCAGTGAAAATTTATTGTTCGCTTTCAAACTGAAAAGTACTTGGTGGGGTTTTTCTTCCTTTTATTACATTAAAACTGCATAGAAAAGATTGATTTCTCTTAAAATTCTGAATTCTGCTCACAGGGAGATGGGATTCTTTTCCTGTCTGAACAAAGGGAGTTGATGGTCTAAAGTAAGCATCAGCTACAATGTGGGGGAAATGTATTTTGTATTTAGTGTAGATAATACTTTGTGAATGGACAACAGTTACATAGAATCGTCTTGGTAGTTCCAGCCAGTGTTTTCCAGCCCCCATTTTACTGATTTGCAATTCTCTATCCTGGAACCCCAGGAGGAAGAGCTGGGAAAAGGGGGAAAGACCCAGAATACCACTTCCAAGTGACTGAGGAAGCACTTCCAAGTGCTGGGGAAGGTGCCCATTTTATACAATGTGGTAAAATGATTTGCCATCTCTGTCTGGAAACTGCTGGTGGGGGAACACTGGATCTGATGCTGAAGGGTGTTTGCTTGAACTCATTAACCAGTCCAAATCTCTTAAAAACTAGCCTTCTCAAAATCCCAGCAATATAAAGCACTGTTTTTCTTCAGTCTTTTAAACAAGCTTGTAAATACATTGAAGTTTACATTTCCATGTGCTGTTGATCAGCGGCACCACCAGTGTTTGCTGAGACTGATCTCTTGCGAGTTTTATAATGTATATCTCGTTCTATAGCTCATTAAGACAAGTGCAGACTTCTCTGCATATAGTGGAATGAAAGCAAGCTCTGTAATTGAGGCACAACATAGGCAGGAGTGAAGAGATGACAAATGTTAATTTCTTAAGATTTTCCTTTTTATCAAATACCTCACTTGGACAGTACAAATCAGGACATGTTGATGAGGGGCTGGCTGCTGCTTTTATTCACACTTGTTCAGGGAGAGCACAGAGAACACCCTACAGCATGGCCACCCTGGACCCAAGAGGAGGAAAAACAGATGCTTTAGTAGGTGGAGGACTCGGTGGAGTCTAGGATGTGAAGAACTCTTGGTGGTTGGCTGGCTGGCCAGCGGGCACCAACCCTGCACTTGAGTGCCTCGGGCTTGCCTGTGAATAAGCACAGAGCACAAGGACCAGCATCACTTCTCACCATCTCCTGGCCGTGTGGACGGGGAGCCAGGATGCCCTGAGTCATTTGCCTGCAGTTGGGCTAAATGCTCGACTTTGAACTCTACAGTTTGTACGACCTCAGTCAGTTGTAGTACACTGGAGCCAATCAGTGTGGTGGTGGAGGAAAAGCCGGGAGGCCTATTTTTATAGGAAAATAGTACCTTTGAGGGTGCAATGCTGTTGTTTTGGACAAAAGGAAAGAACTATGGGAGAACTGGGGTTATTAGGTAACGCGTGCTAAGGGGTGAATCTTGAAGCAGTAATCACTGCAGAATCAGAGTTACAGCAATAGTGTTGCAAGTAAGTCTGAATTTATAGTTTTAATTAATCGGCTTGACAATTTGAATACACAATTCCTTGGGACTGACTGAATCGTTATGCATGTGTCAATCAATGGGAGGTGTGCATTCCTCTAGAAGTAGTCTTTGTCTGTTTGGGTTTTAAAATTGCAGCCTGTTTAGGCAGTGTCATGTGGTGTGAAAGATTTAAACGTAGCAATGCTAAAGAGTAACAATTTGGGGATAAGGAGCCAGGATATTAAGAGAGTGGTGAAGACTGAAATGTTGAACGAATTATGTTTTGCTGTTCACTGTTTAATCCTGAGCAGTCTTAAAGCAAACTGACTTAATGTAGCCAGCAGTCTGGGCAAGCAGAACATACTCATTCTTACTGTAAATTCTATTTGCTGCTTCCAAAGGTGATGATTTCCAAGCAGACATGTTCCATATGGACTGTATGTTAGGATCTGGTGCCCAGCCTATCTCAGAATTTACCTACTTGGCTCAGCTATCTGCCCTTCCTGTGGGAAACCTATTATTTAACAAGGCTTACCCTCTCCTCCCTGTCCTGGTGACCCATTGTGGATGTGCTGTAAGATTTTCTTGCTCAATAGCAAGGTGGAAGCTCTGCTTTCATTTTAGGAAAGTGGAGGCTGAGGGCATTGTATCAATACTGCTTCAATTCCAAGGATTTTTCCTTGCAAAATTAAAGGGAAGATCTTGTTATTGATTAACCATTTTCTTATCCCTTGCTATTGACATATTCACACTCTATGTCTAGTGACTGAAAATGTTTGCATTTGTTCATTTGACTAATGGTGTAATTTTTTGTTTCTATATTGTTAGACTTGTAATGTTTTAAAATGTATTTTATTAAATTTGGGCTGGCAGTATGTCTCTAGCAATACGAGGTACTTTCTAAACAATTAAGGGAGGGTTGGTATCCAATGTTGAGATAAGGTAAGATGATGGTTGTTTAAAATTTGCTTTTTTTTTTTTTTTGGCCTGCAGGGATATTTTGTGTTAATGTGTCCAAAAAAGAATAAATTGGCATTCTGTGCCAAAAGTTGTTTTTCTTGTCAATTGTCTAATAAATATGGAGTACTATAATGGTAACACACATGGTTGCTTTTTAAAAACAATTTCCTCATTTTGAGAAAGAAAAACAGTGGAAATAATTTGTGTTTCTAACTCTTGGTTGTCCTGGTTATTATTTGAGAGTTTTAGAAGAACACTTTACATATGAAAACTTTTACAGCATTCATTAGGATTCTGAGTACAGCTCTTAATCTAAGTGATGTTTTGCTTTGTTTTTATTTTATTTACTTATTTATACAAGAGCTGGGGTGGAGCCAGAGGTATGGGGGATGGGCCAGAGACAGATTGGGGAGAACAGACACACAAATATAGTGCTGAGGGGAGCAGTGGGCGAGACAGGAGGGGGTCTGCTGAACCTCGTGGGTCAGCTGGGGGGTTTTGCAGTGACTGTGGATAGCTTCATAGTGCTGAGACTTAACCTGTTGCACCACCAGGGAGGTCTCAGTGATCTTTTGAGAACAATTTGTAGTCTCCAGAGGGCAATCTGGCCACCTATTTTGTAAGATAGACTTCTCCAGAGGAAGAGAATTCACTCAACCTGGGGCTATCCAGTCTCAAGTCTTTTTAAAAACTCACCAGTAAAGTCCTTTTGTTAAATCATGGCAGGGATTATGCAGTGATTTGCAGAATATGGCTCTGATCCTCAGGGAATTTACAGGTTACCAGAGGAGTTTGTCTTGCATACAACTAACTTTACCAGGTACTTATTTTTTTCATTTATTTACCCATTACCAACATTTACCAGGTACCCAAAACATCTCAACTTTTGCATAGTTGCTGGGAACACAAGTTTTTATTCGAGGAACTTGTGCTAATATGGCATGGAGTGGGCATGAAGAAGGCAGCAAGATTAACATCATCTGAGTGCCTCATATATCACTCATACATCACTTCATGATGACATCTTTAATACCAGCAAAAGCATTTGATGTTGATCATGGTATCCCCATTTTAAACATGAGGAGTCAGCTTCAAAGAAGCTAAACATATGGTTACTGAAAGAGCTAAAATTTGAATTCAGGTCTGTGTAACTTCCTTATATCTGCTACTGGATGCACTAAATTATGGAATACTTAAGGAACTTAGAAGAGAGAAACAATTTTTGCCATGGGGAGTCAGGGAAGATTTGACAGTGGTGGTAAATTTGGGGATGAATCAAGGAGCAATTGTGGTTTTTCAGGTAGATGGGAGAGGGAACAAGGCAATTCTAGACACATGGTTCCCTTAAGTAGATTATGGTAGCATTCTCTTACTCCCTTACTCTCTTACTCCCTTACTCCTTTGTGAGTTAGATCCTTCTTTCTGCATTTGTGTTAGCCCCATGTCTATCCTTGAATTAGTCACTGGGGCATGTACACACCAGCCAGGAATGCCTTGTGTGTCCACTCCGGTATGTGTGGCCAATAAATAGAGAAGTTACGGACTACTCAGCACCATTACAAGGCATGGGACTCTTCTGTCTCTCCAACTCTCAGTTCCGATTTCCTCTTTGTTGACATTATTCTCCACAAGGTAATGCCAGATATTTATTTAAGGTTTTTTTTTTTATGCATACAGAACTGGGGCACAGGCCAGTGGTGCAGGGGTGGTGAGAGGATTCACCAGAGACAGAGTGGGGTGTATGATGTAGTATACTGATCAGGCACATAATGAAATATACTGCTGAGGGGAGCAGCAGGCAAGACAGAGAGGTCTGATGCACCAAGTGGGTCACCTCCCTGGCTGGGGATCGAACCTGTGCTGAAAAGGCTGCAGCTAGCTTCACAGTGCTGTGCTTTAACCTGTTGCACCACCAGGGAGGGCCCATGCCAGATATTTAAAGAGAAGAGAGACAAACTCAGACAGAGAAACAAGCAACATTAGTTCACATTAGCTAGGGAAGGAAATTATTTTAGTTTAACAATCATTTCTGAAGTTCCCATTATGTACTAAGAAATACAAAGATGAAAGATATAGTTCTGGTTATTGAAAGATGACTAGTAAATTTGGGAGCTACATAGATAATAGGTTAAGAAGTGTATATAAATGGCTCAATTAAGAGAGGTTTCTAACAAGCCTGGAGGTGCCAAAGGAGGATTCACTGAGAAAGTGTTGACTGAGCTAGTTTATAAATAATAAGAACTTTATAAATAAATGAGGCATGAGAAAGCATTCTAGGAATTTTCATCAGCAGCAAAGCTGTGGGGGGGACAATTTATCACTTGTTTGGATAAATTGCAAGTCACTTCAGATGAGATTGGACTGTTTGGGGTGGTATAAGCCATAGGCTACAAGTAATTTCAATACTCTTACATTATGAGATGGAGGAACTGGAGCAATAAGCTTGGATCACAAAGGCAAACACCAGTTCCTATCAGGGTAGGGCATTCTAAGGATTTAGAGTTACCCAGAGATAACAGGAAAATAGAATACCATCGGTGTTAGTTATATTGGCAGTAGTGTTGTGGGTAGGTTGAAGCTGAAGTTCTGCTCAAGTTACAGTTTTATTGCAATAGTGCAAACAAAAATGATGAACTTTGAGCAGTGATGGAGAGAAGGCATGAACCAAGAGATATTCAGAAAGCAGGAAAGGTATAAGTGAAAGTAGAGATAGAGTTAGGGGAAGGAGGTAGACTCATTGAGTGCCCCAGGTTCCTGGCTCTGATAACTGGGTAGATAAAGGTGCTGCCCAGAGAAGCAGCAACAGGTCTATGATTTATGGAAAGGAGGAAAGAGGTAAGTTCACAGACAGATTAGAGCTTTTGGGCAAATTGAATCTGTGTGAACTGGAGAAAGACTGGAAGTTATCAGTCTATATGTATAGCCTGTAAGTTCTGTTTCACTGGAGTCCCTGACTAATAGAGAAAGTAAATGCTCATATTTTGCTGACTGCTTTTAATATCTTCTCTCTTTTTTTATTTCCAGCACTACAGGTACCTTTATATTTAACCTGCTTAGGATTTTGTCTTATTTATTTTTGAAAAGTCAGCACATAGTATCTGGCATGTAGTAGGTGCTCCATAAGTGTTATCTATTAGTAGTAGTAGTAATAGCTATTAATATTTAGTATTACCCAACATAAAAGAGTACAAATGGAGAACACAATTCAAG